AAAGTAAGCAGGATTTTCCTGATTAAGGTTGAAATATTACAACACCGTAAAAACACAGAGCTCTCAGTAACTGAATAATGTTTAGATGAGAGAAGTGTTGGTGGAGGCGTGTTTAAAGTGTACTTTGCTGAGCTACAAAGTAGACATAATTTAAATTTAAACAAACTTGAAGTTGAACTATAAGCTACTAACAACAATCAGGTTTTTTTATTTTTTATTTATTTATTTATTTATTTTTTTGAGATTATACTGAAGCTGTCTAATAGGAAAAAAAACACTGCTTTCCAAACAGTTAAGACTATACAAGCTGTAGGCTCTAATTTAATAATTTCTTTTGTGTAGATAAAACAGCAGTGTAATGTGTGTATTTATACGTATTTACAATGCATCTGGAAAGTATTCATAGCGCTTCACTTTTTCCCCATTTTTTATGTTACAGCCTTATTCCAAAATGGATTAAATTTATTTATTTCCTCAAAATTCACAATACCCAATAATGACAATGTGAAAAAAGAGGTTTTGAAATTGTTGCAAATTTATAAAAAATAAAAAGGCTGAAAAATGACATGGACATAAGGCTTCAGCCTTTGCCATGAAGCTCTAAATTGAGCTCAGGTACATTCTGTTTCCACTGATCATTCTTGAGATGTTTCAGCAGGTTAATTAGAGTTCACCTGTGGTAAATTCAGTTGATTGGACATGATCTGAAAACGCCTAGACACCTGTCTAAAGACACCTGTCTAAATAAGGTCCCAGTGCATGTCAAAGCACAAACCAAGCATGAAGACAAGGGAATTGTCGGTATACCTCCAAGACAGGATTGTCTCAAGGCACAAGGAAGGTTACAAAAAAATGTCTGCTGCTTTGAAAGTTCCAGTGAGCACAGTGTCCTCCATCATCCATAAGTGGAAGATGTTTGGAACCACCAGGACTCTTCCTAGAGCTGGCCGGCCATATAAGCTGAGTGTTTAGGGGTGGAGGGCCTTAGTCAGGGAGGTCACCAATAATCTGATGGTCACTCTGTCTGAGCTTCAGCATTCTTCTGTGGAGAGAGGAGAACCTTACAGAACAACAACCATATGTGCTGCAATCCACCAATCAGGCCTATATGGTAGAGTGGCCAGACGGAAGTCACTCTCCGCCTGGAATTTGCCAAAATGCATCTGAAGGACTCTCAGACCACAAGAAACTATATTCTCTGGTCTGATGAGACTAAAATTGAATAGCAGGCATTACGTTTGGAGAAAACCAGGCACCCCTCATCACCAGGCTAATACCATCTCTACAGTGAAGCATGGTGGTGGCAGCATCATGCTGTGGGGATGTTTTTTAGCAGCAGGGACTTGAAGACTAGTCAGGATAGAGGAAAAGATTAATTCAGCAATGTACAGAGACAACATAAATGAAAACCTGCTTCAGAGTGCTCTTGACCTCAGACTGGGGCGACGGTTCATCTTCCAGCAGGACAACGACCCAAAACACACTACCCCACCCCAGGCACGCTCGTGTCTGTATATACAAGTATCACTTTAACAGCCAAGAGGAGGGGAAAAGTTACCTCACAAACACGCCAGCGGGTCAAATGTCCAAAGTGAGAGAGAGGGAGAGGCAGAGATGTGCCTTTTTCAATGTCAGTGAAAGACTGTCCAGCAAACTCACAAGCAGTTGAACTGTGCATAATTATCTACCTTTTAAGTAGTAGCAGCGTTTTATTTAGTCGCCCTCACCTCCTTCGCCAGAATATTCTACTGCGACATCATGCATAGAGTATGTACAGTACGTAATAACCCAACCCAAGCTCATTCTGGAAACGTAGCCCCGCTGGAGACCGCGATTTACATGGCTGGAGGTACGTAAGGCAGCGTTTAGTTTTTTTCGAGCGAACGCTGCGGGGCAGTGTGGCGCCGCTCCGCCCCTCCTCTTCGCGCTCGCCGGCCGACGGCTCGCCTCCGAGTGGAGGGCTTTCCGGATGCAATCAGTTTGTCCGCTTAGCTCACAGCATTGCGTCGGCAGAGCGGAGGCCCCGGACGAGGAGGAGGAGGAGCCGGCTGCGGGGATGATGACCGGGATCGAGTCCTGGGAACAGCGGTTCCGGAAATCAGGTAAGACGAAAAACGGAATCCGAAAAATAAGGGCGAGAACGCGGCGGGATCCGAAAACGCGGTCGAAATCGAAGACGAGAGCTTTTGCTTTTTTTTTTTTTCTGGACGGCTTTTGCGAACCGTCGCTCGGGTTTAGGGAAGGAGAAGGAAAAGGAGGAGGAAGAGGAGGGCAGCCGAGTCGGCCGATCCAGCGGCTTTTCGCACGAGAACGGCGCGGGCGCGAACGGCAGCCTCTCGCGGATCCGCGGAAACAAAAATCACTTGAATACGTACCTCCCGGGACGTAAATTGCGGTCCGCAGAAACGTCCCCGGGGCTACGTTTCCACAATGAGCCTGGGTTGTAATAACCGGTTATGATTATTCCAGCTGGAGAATGCCATGTCATTAAGCGTAAATTATTTCAGACTGGTTTCTTAAACATTACAATGAGTTTACTGTACTCAAATGGCCTCCACAATCACCAGATCCTAATCCAATGGAGCACTTTTAGGATGTGGTAGAACGGGAGATTCACATCATGAATGTGCATCCGACAAATCTGCAACAAGTGCGTGATGCTATCATGTCAATATGGACCAAAATGTCTGAGGAATTTCTCTAGTACCTTGTTGACTCTATGCCACAAAGGATTAAGGCAGTTCTTAAGGCAAAAGAGGGTCCAACCCAGTACTAGTAAGGTGTACATAATAAAGTCACCGGTGAGTGCATTTGTGTCATTGTTCTTGCCATTTACAATTGAAAACAGTTTTGAAAACTACACATTTTCACACTACGTTTTTTTTCGTGTGTGAGTGAAGATTTAAACAGTACTGTTCATGTTTTATAGGTCAGACTATTTGAGAACAAATTACTGAGTGTTTCTAAGTGGTTGACTCAGCACTGTAATTATAATGAACTGAATATGACCTCATTAGTTGAGAGGTCTTATTATTAAGGTAAAACATATTTTATAATTCTCATACATGTCAACATTTCTTTAAATGCTTGTCCTGAATATATACAAAGGATATGAGAGTGTAGTAGAATAAACATATGAATATTTTTGGAGGCATATCGTAGGAAAGAAGCTTGCAGGGGGCGTGAGATTTTCCAACTCTGGATTATTTCTGTTCCAACACAAGCTCTCTGAACTGTCACTTTTGAGTGTCAAAAATATTTTAATTCTTGGAGTAAGAAGACAGCCATAACAGTAAGCAGACATTAAAGGCAAACACAACTTGAGCACTTTATTGTTATGCTTAAGTATTATCTTTGATCATTCATACTTTATTGTAGTGATGGTTATACTATGTGTCCAAAGAAAAACAGTAAGTCTGCATTAAGAATGACAGCATCCCTGGTCACCAAGGCATGCTGGTTGCTGGTTTGTTGGTCCATTATATGGGACACCAGTAAGTCCTATCAGCTCATTCGAATGTTATCACCCGATTGAATGGGCATTATCAGTGATTATCACCTGATAGGTATGGGTCAGTAAGGACCTTGTGCACCTACTAGTAGGCTCAAAAGGCTGTTATCATCCATCCACATGGTTAATCAACTATCACATACGGCTGCAGCCGGAAGTTAACGAGATATATGGGTAACACTTTAGAATAACTATCCATTATAAATAGTTTATAGATCATTAATAAATTGTTAGTTAATGTGTTATAAATGAGTTGTTAAATAATAGTTATTAGATTGTTAATTATTTATAACTGTGCCTTATAGATAGCCAACAGATAACTTACAAGCTGTTAGTTAGCAAGTTAAAAATGACTTGTTAAATGTATTTTAATGATTTATAACTATACCTTATAAATTAGCAACAGATCGTGAACGAGCTGTTGGTAAATTACTTACGAAAGACTTGTTAAGTATCAGTTAATGGTTTATATATGTCATTGGGACGTTATTTTTAAAGTTGTAACTATTCTTCATTTATTAACTGTTAGTAAATAAGGAATAGTTGCAAGTTCATTTAGAGACTGCATGCTTTAAATTAGATAAAATGCTTAGGAACCACAAAAAAAAAAAGAAAAAAAGGGGGCTGGCATGTAATGTTCATTGTAATGGGCTAATATTACACTGTAAAACCCCAAAAGTTAAGTAACCAAAACCATTTAAGGAAATTAATGGCAACAAAACATTAAAGTTCAAAAAATAATCTTAATGAGTAATGTGAAGCTAATCTATTTAGTAAACAAAGCAATGCGAGCACAGTAAAACTCAGTAAATAAAGAGAACTCAAACCAACTGAGAACGGTAAAACCCAAACAAGCAACTCAAACAGTTTAAGAAAACCGATTGCTGCAAACCATTTGATAAAAAAAAAAAAACTAAGCAATTTGAGTACTGTGAACATTCCATTTAAGCTAAAGTAATGATGTATTTAATTAACTCATTACCTTCAACACTGAGTTCAAAACAATTAACTTTCAGTAAATTTTGAGTTAACTAGACTTGTTTCATTTGACAAAGTTGACTCTTGTGTTTTACAGTGTATAAGATGTGACCAAAACTAAAATGCTACCATAGTTGCTTTTAACATTTAAGTATGTTGCATTATTTTACATTAATAATGGATCCAGTAATATAAACCCCACAAATGTATTGGCGGTCATTTCGGTTTAAGCAAAAATGAAAAATGCTTGAAATGTACTTGCAATTCTGGAATGAGTTTCATATAAATCTCAAAAAACCAATGTGTTCCATTCCCAGATTCTGTGCAGCGTAGTATGATGAAAGCTTACTGAAGAAGAAACTAATCTTCAGTAGATGGTTCAGGGTTTTTGGTGAATGCAGTGACCTGATCGTTCCTCTTCTCAGTGTAGTCTTTTACCAGCTCTTATTTCTTTGGCTTTGTGCTCAGCTGCTCACATCCAAATCAATGTCTTTTCTGTTTTCTTCCCCAGACTCCATCTGTATCCAGGGTTTCGACCCTAACATTGGCATCATCACCCCAATCAACCCCATGATGGCGGGCATCAGTCTAGTGCCACCTCATCCCGTGGCAGCAGAACTTCCTGTAATAAAGGAAATCATTCACTGCAAGAGCTGCACGCTGTTCCCGCAGAACCCCAGTAAGAGCCGCTGCCTTTTACAACACAATTATTATAGGTTTCATCATAAAACCAGGCACATGTGAACACAGCCAGCCATTATTTACTTCTGCTGATGTCATGGTAAATATATAAAGTTCAGCCAGTGCCATTTTGAATGACCTGTAACTGTGGGGTAAAATGTTCCACTGAAAGACCTGTAACTTTATGCTGTTTTATGATTATTGAAACTACAGCGACCAAACGATGGTGTTTATTAAAACCTGCAATGTGGAAAATCAGAGAAAGACAAATGGTAAATCTTTAGAGCTTTTGTGGTAAACACTGTTAAACCAAATGAACACTGAAGGAAAGCATTGTGTTTCTCCAATTAACCTGTTAACTGTCACTGCAGTTTTTTAGCACAGGCTTGCAAAGGTAATTTTGAAATTCAAATGAATATAAATCTGGAAAGCTTTTGAATATAATCCTAATGCTGGTCTTGTTTTAAAGAAGAGACTTTGAAGTTTCCTGCACAGATGTCTGCAGTTTAAAATTAAATAACAAAAAAAAAAAGTTATCGCTGTTGAGATTTAATGTGATAAAATACAGCTATACAGTTTTATATTGTATTTATATTTTTTTTAATATATTAAATTATAAAAATTACAATTAGCTTGACCCAAAAAAAAAAAAAGTCATGGGTCTAAATAAGTTTTGTTCAAACTGATGTTGCAAAAAAAAAAAAATCTATTATACCACAAGGGCACACATTTATGCCCAGTTTCTGGTTAATAAAATACACTTGGTTACCCCTACTTCATATTAAATTTTAATTATATTGTCAAGGTTTTGGACAAATATTAGTAATAATGTATTTGTTTGCATTATTAACATAAAAACTGAAGTTTAATGTGGTTGTAACTCTGTTTATTGATCTTTATAATGCCACAATCTGCTACATTTTAGATTTTATCAGCTTCTCTTGCAACTTCTTTTGCAACAAAATAACGTAATTGTGAAATATATTTATTCATTTTCTTTTCAGCTTTGTCCCTTTATTAATCCAGGGTCGCCACAGCAGAATGAACCGCCAACTCATCTAGCACATTTCTACGCAGCAGATGCCCTTCCAGCCGCAACCCATCTCTGGGAAACATCCACGCAGACACATTCACACACACTCATACACAACGAACAATTTAGCCTACTTAATTTACCTGTACCACATGTCTTTGGACTGTGGGGGAAACAGGAGCAACCGGAGGAAACCCATGCGAATGCAGGGAGAATATGCAAACTCCACACAGAAATGCCAACTGACCCAGCCGAGGCTTGAACCAGCGACTCAGCAACCTTCTTGCTGTGAGGCGACAGCACTACCTACTGCGCCACTGCGTCACCATTGTGAAATATATTTCCTAAAAAATAAAAACATGAAAAGTACACACCTATAGATTTGCAATTATATATACTTTGTTAATATTAAGCCAGGTAAAGTGAAGGTGAATATAATGGCTTCAGATATGCAATAGCAAATGTTGACAGTTAAGTGGGTAAATTTGTGTCTTATGTACTATTTCTTCTTTTGTTGATGGAGATCATGTCATATTTTAATAACATAATTTAAATTATTTGTTATAACACACCATAATATACTATATTTATATTTGTGGATGTGCTTTTTTTTTATTAATATGCAAAGTCTCTTAAAAAACATGTAATTTTACTCGCCGGGCATCTTTGAAACACCTCATGAGCAGTATGCTCAGGTATTAGGTGCTTGCGCATGCACCACGGCTGCAGCCCGCAATCAACGAGATTAGCCGAGCGCAGGCGGGGGCAAAGTTGAAAACGGGGCTGTCAGGTCAGACACTTTGGGGCTTGTAATTTGTTGCATGATGCAGATCACCTGGTGTAATCAGCTATTTTATTATTTATGGCAACAACAACAAAAGAATCACAATTAATAACTACATTTAAGAAGCCTATAACAGGGTGATGCGGGGGCGCAGTAGGTAGTGCTGTCGCCTCACAGGTCGCTGGTTCAAGCCTCAGCTGGGTAATTTCTTTGTGGACTTTGCATGTTCTCCCCACATTTGCATGGGTTTTCTCCGGGTGCTCTGGTTTCCCCCACAAGTCCAAAGACATGCAGTACAGGTGAATTGGGTAAGTACAGGTGAATTGGGTAAGTGAGAGCGTATGGATGCTTCCCAGAGATGGGTTGCAGCTGGAAGGGCATCTCCTGCGTAAAACAAATGCTGGATAAGTTGGCGGTTCATTCCACTGTGGTGAACCTGGATTAACAAAGGGACTAAGGCGAAAAGACAATGAATGAATGAATGAATGAATGGTGGCCAAATATTGCCTTTAGATTTATCCAAAACAATTATATTTCACTTTTAACCCCTCAGAGACATTTACACTCAAATTCCAAAATAAGTGTCCGTAATGCAGAGTTCAGACTGCTTGATTTTCAAAGTAATTGTGTCACAGATGTTTTAAACTGCATGACTATCTGGGCTAGCGTTTTGTTGCTGCTTTTTTACACTGCAAGATTTATCGGCAACAGGGGCTTTCACATTGCATGACTTTACAATAGGAAGAATCTCAGCTTCGTCCAAACTACGTCTCAGAATTAAAACACGTAGTATATGTTTTGTTATTAACTACATAACGAGAAAGAAGCATTTATTGGGGTATAACATTTACATATTTGCTCACATGGGTTTGAAGGGAATTAGCAATTTCTTCCAACTTTGTTTTTTGACCCGGTTATGATATTGCTCACATGACTTCAAACAAACATGAGTGCTCCTGCCAAATTATCATTAGTTTTTCCTGCATTTCTTGGGTCCAAATAAACTAAAAGGGAGTGCTTTTAACTTCTCCCCCAACCTCCCGCTGGCCTGCAGGTACACACACACACACTAGTCTAGTGGATGCTGCTCTCTCATTGGCTGGAGCCAATCGCTGATGTTATTTTCAGTCAAAATTCTTTTCACACAGCGTGATTCGAATCACTGACAGCTACAGATATTTAACATGCCAAATATCTCACAGACATCAGCGATTCTCTCAGATCACGTCTTTGATAGTTCACATTGTGTGATTGTTACTCGCATGAATGAGCACCAATTTTCCTGTGATTTCAGACATTTGTCAGCAATTTCTCAAAATTTTTTGGTGAGTCAAAATCGTGGCTAAAGTCTTGCATTCTGAACTCGGCACAAGAAGGATGCTTTCGGTGAGAAAATAGAGGCTGAATGGCTGAAAAATAATACAAATTTTACAAGATATGTCGCTCATAGTTTTGAATGGGGAAAAGTGTAACGGTCAATATGGCGAATATAATATAATATATATAGATAGACAACATTTTACTCACAAAACAATATATTTTCATCAATGTCGGAAATTGGTAATCATTGAATTCAGTAGTGTTTTTTCTACTATGAATGTTAATGGCTGCTTTTTTCCAACATTGCTCAAAATATCTTCTTTTGTGTTCATCAGAAGAAATGAGTTCAAACAGTTTTGTAAAGTGGATGGTGAGTAAATGACCACAGCATTTTCACTTTTGGGTGAACCTTTCCTTCAAATTGCATTTTCAATTCTGAATAAGTGGCTTCTAAACATCTAAATCAGTCTTTATTTAATATTAAACAAAAATAAATAAATAAAACGTAATCAAAGTGATCTTTATTCATGCAGTTTGAGTGCAGTAAAGCATTTTTGTGGATTGCGCAGATCTTCCTCCACCCTCCACGAGAGAACGGCCTCCAGGGTGTAAGACAGTGTTTGTTGGTGGGCTTCCAGAAAACGCCACTGAGGAGATCATCAAAGAAGTGTTTGACCAGTGTGGGGAGATCATCGCCATCCGCAAGAGCAAGAAAAACTTCTGCCACATTCGATTTATTGAGGAGTTCATGGTGGACAAGGCCCTCTACCTCTCAGGTTTGTGTGTGGGTAAAAGCTGATCTGATGGTCTGTCTTTGTTCTTTTTTCATTTATACATAGCACATACACTTTTTGTTGTGTTTCTCTACCTCTCTGCTGTGCCCTTGTTGTTTTATTTATACACAAACATGTATTTTTTTTTTCTAGGCGAAAATGTGCTTTGTTTGGCTTTGTTTTGGAATGATTGTTTTGTACCACTATAGGGTATATTACACAATGCATTTTTATTTTTTTTTATGTTTTAATGTTTTTTACCAGGTATGTTTGCTTTTATTTTGAGTTGGTTTGCAATCGTGAAACCAATTCTAGACCAGCCAGCTGTGTGAAAAATTGTATGAATATTCTACATGAAATAAGACCACTCCCCTGTATCATTTCTTCAAATTAAATCTATTATTAAGTATTATATGTATTGGCAATATATATAATTATCTTTAAAAAGTCATTTCAGGTGCATGTGCTAATCATCAACTCTCGATTAAAGCAGAAGGGTATTGCACAAAAGCAAGACACGGCATTTACATATCATTACCTTCTATTAGAATATATACAGTTAAAGTCAGAATTATTCACCCACCTGTATTTTTTCTCCCCAATTTCTGTTTGACGGAGAGAACATTTTTTCAACACATTTCGAAACATAATAGTTTTAATAACTCATTTGTAAGAAGTGATTATTTTATCTTTACCATGATGACAGCAAAAAATGTTTGACTAGATATTTTTTCAAGACACTTCTATAGAGCTTAAAGTGAAATTAAAAGGCTTAACTAGGTTAATTAGGTTAACTAGGCAGGTTAGGGTAATTAGGCAAGTCATTGTATAATGATGGTTTGTTCTGTAGATTATCGGAAAAAAAAATTGCCTAAAGGGGCTAACATTTTTGACCTTAAAATGTTTTCTTTTTCATTAAAAACTACTTTTATTCTAGCCAAAATAAAATAAGTAAAGCTTTCTTCAGAGAAAAACATAGATATTATCAGACATACTGTAAAAATGTCCTTTCTTTGTTAAACATAATTTAGTAAATATTTAAAAAAGAAAAAAAATCAAAGGAGGGCTAACAATTCTGACTCCTATCTATCTATCTATCTATCTATCTATCTATCTATCTATCTATCTATCTATCTATCTATCTATCTATCTATCTATCTATCTATCTATCTATCTATCTATCTATCTATCTATCTATCTATCAATCAGAATTATTAGCCCCCCTTTTAATTTTTTTAATACGTCTGCAGCCACACCTGTTTTCATTTGTCTCCGTTTTCCCCCATCTACACTGAGACGAAGCAGCAGCATTTAAAATGAAAACAGCCTCTTCAGCATTTTCAAAACCATCCGTTTTGGACAGATGGCCTAACCATAGCAAAGCTTATGCATTTTAAAACTAAAAGGTATTAGTGTAAATGGGGCCTAAGCTAGGATACGCTAATTGATTAATGTCAAATTGTAATCCTGCTTTTCTTAAATCTATTTTTGTGCAATATACCTCAAGGGAAAGCAACCTTAAACTTGCTTACTTGAGGTAAGTTGATTCCAAAACTTCTCCTGGAAGGAAGCTGTCAACTCAGAGTATGTTAACTATGATAACTATTATATAAAGATGTGTCCAAAAATGAAGAAAAAATCACTGTAATAGTATATGCATATTATTGAGAGTTGTCTTTTCTTTATAAATTTTTGTATTTTTTTAGTAAAGTACTATTAGTTAAGTTACTGACCCTTTATATTTTGTCAAGCATTAGACTTCAAACTAATTATTGTTATTATTATTATTATTTATTTATTTATTTATTTATTGTATATTCAAGTGTATTGATATTTATTAAACATAGGAGCCTGCATGATAGCTCAGTTTGCCAAATAATATGTTTGTCGTCCTAGGCTATCGGATGCGCATTGGCTCCAGCACTGATAAAAAGGATTCGGGCCGCATTCATGTAGATTTCGCTCAGGCAAGAGACGACTTGTATGAGTGGGAGTGCAAACAAAGATTGCTGGCACGAGAGGAGCGGCACCGACGGAAAATCCACGAGGAACGGCTGAGACCTCCATCACCTCCTCCCATAATGCACTACTCAGAGCACGAGGCAACTCTTCTGGCGGAGAAACTGAAAGGTAAGCTTTCCCACAGACTGCGGTGCCATGATCTCATCTAGCCTTTAAAGCGCAGATTTGTCATCATTAATGTAGCGCCGAGAGAAATTCGGGGCTTTTTGGAAAAGCTTCAAGGCAGAGCTTTTATGCGTCTAATAAAGGCAGAATGTGGTAAGATGACCTACACAGCCAGGTCTGCTTTCCCTCAGACATTTCTGCAGCTGTCCTCGTCTGCTCCCTGATGACGTGACGGACATTAATGAGCAGAGTTTTTGCACTCTTACGCTCCAGTCTTCATCCCGTCTGCAGCTGCCAGCCGAACGGACCCAGCTGTTGTTTATTCTAGGAGACTGGTGTGTTTATATGATCGGCTAGTTCCATTCATCAGCTTCAATGAGACCAATGATTGCCAATGAACTGAACGCTCAGTACCAGGCTTCTGGAAAGCCAAAGAGTTGCGGAGGTTGACTAAATAGTGTTCATTTGCTTTCAGGGGTGATTAAATGTGCTTAGAGTCAGGTTTGGATGAGCCTATAGGCTAGAAATGCGATACGGTGGAAGAGCTCACGCATAAATCTGTACACCTAATGCAGTTCAATTAGAATTTAAGGTCAACTTTTTCTTCAGATGAATCTTCTTAAATTGTTTACAGAGCATCTTTAAATTACTGTTTGTGTTAATCACTAAGAAAGCTTTGATTACAGATTTTCTGGCCACAAATTGGGCAAGTGGCTTGCAAAAGAGCTATACATTGTTCATTTAGTCAAGGAGTAGTTGAGAGTGGTCAAGGCTTGTGAAGCATATCCAGTTAAACATTTTTTTTGTAGTATATTTCAGTCACATGGGATGTTAACACAAGACGCGAGTTGTGCGACTAAATCACAATATGCATGTATAAATAAATCTTTTTGAGTTTACTCGCTTCATTCGTCCATCAAATTCACTTCATTTGCATTTTAAATTCACTTCACAATTGATGCAGATTCATGTCACGGGCAGGACATCTGTCTGGCCAATGACTCTACCTTTTCATGGAAATAAAAATTGGGTTGCCATCAGAACCAAACATCAGACAGACATCAACGTCCAACGTCAGGCAGACATTGCATTTTGGTTGATAATGAAAATCAGGTGGTGTCAGAACCATAGATTGTAAAAGATATGGACATAGTATCCGTCACGTCACCCATAGGTTTCTGAACACTGCAAAAGAAGCCACAAGTAGGCGCGGCCAGCCGTCGGCATTTTGTTTGCGCGTTATCGAACCCACGGAGGGATACCAAACAAGGGCAAAGAGGCGGGGAGTGACGGAGCTACAGACACCTGCTAGCATTTTGCTTGGACCTGGCTTAGACAGACTTTATTTAGGGAAAACGCTTAATACTTTATTATCTGCGACTCTTTTGTGTTCTGACCACATGTGCTTGGCTGTACACTATATCAATAAAGTGTTAAGACTTTTAAAAACACTTTTGTAACACATTGAGCCACTAAGCATTGTTCTTATGACGTTTTGCTACAGGAGGAAAAGGCAAATAACTTCCAAACACTTCAGATATAATCTGTGTTAGTAAATGCAAGACTATTGATGAAATCCAGGTATAGCACTGCATGATAATGCTTCAGATGACTGTTCTAGAGCCTACAGCTAATCAATCTGTCAGACATCGCAATTTGGTTGGAAATGAAATTTGAGTTGATATCAGAACCCAACGTCAGACAGATGTCAATGTCCAATGTCAGGCAGACATTGGATTTTGCTCCTCTGAAGTTGCATTTAAAATATAGCTTAATATCTACATCATAACTTGTTGTATGCTTGCTGGGTAGTTCCGTTGCTAAATAGCTAAAATGGATTTTATTGAGAGACTAGCTGTGTTTATGTGCTTTAGGAAGGCTAAAAAACAGTGTATATTAGTTTGGTGCCATGCCTGAGTCCACTAGAACCTTTCAGAGGTGCATACAGCTCTGTGATTCATCAACTCCTCCAGAAACTGTACCTGGAGTCCAGTTTGATGTGCTGTTGTTCAGTGTTTGCAATTTTCCCTTGGGACACCAACAACAGGCGCTACATAATAATCATGCCCATACTAGAGCAAGCTCCTGATTGTTTATGGCAGCACAAATGTCCTCTGAAGTTCAGATTTTCCTACTAGAGCAATTTGCGTTATACATGTCAAAACTGTACCTTTCATTTTACCTGCTTAAAGAAAACACTCTTTTTGAATGCAAACAAAACTCAAATACTATCACCCCACTTGCTTTTTGAGCATGTACATCCCTATGATTGGTCATTTGTCATGAGAGCTTAACATAAATGGCTGGGATTTGGCTCTAAAACTGTCAGCGCTGTTCACTGATGAGGCGGACACTGAAGAGTTCTGACAATTCAGAACATCTGTACAAGCGAAAGACAAAATCCAAAATGGCAATGAAGAAACTCATTTTGAAAAAAAAACTTTTGTGTGTCTGTCTGTACCTTAGACAAACTGCAAGTGTCTGTGCAGGATCAATTGGTTTATGGAAAGTGGTTTTCTTTTTATTATATGGTAAACAATACGTATCGGACTCAGTGTGCAAGGCTTGTATGCATGAAAAAATTTTCAGATTTGAATACACAAAAAAAAAAAATAAATAAATTTCAGACTTTAATTTGCAAAGACCTTCAGTTGCAGGAGAATAAAACTATCCGAGGGTCTTCTGCAAAATGGAAATATCTGAAATGAATGAACACAAATAATTAAAAAACAAATCAACCATTATTTATCCATAGCACTAAACTGGCACAAGACTGTGCTTTCGTATGCTAACTTCCAGTGCACCATTGGAGAGAGTTTTCGATATTTATGGACTGTAGTCACACATTCAAGCAGAGACACATAAAAAAGCTATTTCACAAAGGAAACGGTGATGGTGAATCACTGTGGTGAATCACTGTCCGGCTGTTGATGTTTTGGCATAGTGGAAGTTTACTCGCGCACACTGCTAGCGTCATCATTTCAGTGCATCACTATTCAGTCAGCAAGTCTGAAGGTCACTGAAAAATGTGTCCTGCAAAGTTCTCTACCCCAAATCGCCAACACAAACCCCTACTGGCAACTTATAACAACTCGAGAAAAGTAAGACTGGAAAAGTAAGAGTGATTCTTAGATCTGAGAAATGTGATCTTGTTTATACTTAAGTTTGTATGTAGCAGTAAATTCCATGAAGACTGTTATAGCACTTTCAGAAGCTTGACAAATATGGCTCTTTAATATTAATTATTAATTTTGTCCCATTGTTTACTTACATGGGCAACACAGTGACTCAGTGGTTAGCACTGTCGCCACACAGAAAGAATGTCTTTGATTCGAGTCCTGGCTGAGGTAGTTGGCATTTCTGTGTGGAGTTTGCATGTTCTACCTATGTTCGTGTGGGTTTTCTCCGTGTGCTCCGTTTTCCCCTCAGTCTAGTAATGACGAGGAGAATGGGTTTGGAACTAGTGTCGGTTTTCAAAAGCTAGACTAAATGCTAAACCTCATCTCTAAGTTTCAAGCCTCATTAAAAGACACTTTCCCTGCATTGTCTTTTTTTCTATTGGACAAGAACATCATCTCATCAGTGTGTTCAGTCACGGCTCGTGAATCAGTAACTAACCCTGCATTTTCCTGTCTAAACATGAAGTGTAATTCCAGCCTGAGTAGCCGAGACACGAGGCGTTCGGTGTGGCCTCTCCCAAGCTTCAGTAATCTGCTCCCTGTGGACCTGTGTGAAATACATTACTGAAATTGGAAGAATAATTGAATTTCGCCACAAAGTCAGTGCAGTAGGGCTGGCAGTAAATTCGATCCCTGCCTTAATGAGATCCTGTACATGGAAACAACATCATTTCCTGCATCTGTGCACTTCTCAGCAGACTGTTGTTGCTTCGTCTCACCGCAGAAAAGCCAGTGAGGAGAATGACATCATGACTGATCTTGAGTAACAGATAACCTAATTAAATATTCCTCCAGTAAAAGTGTAAAGTCCTTCTTTTCAAGTATTTTATTTTTAAGTTAAAAGTACATAATAAAGCACTTAGCTGATAAATACTGCAGATAATAAAAGTAATAAAAGTAATAAAACAATATTTACAATATTTCTATCAGAATATGACCAGAGAAGTATATATTTCAATGACTTATGCACTTACACTATTGTAAATGTTTGGAGGAATAGTGAAATCCAGATAAATAATATTCAGTGAGAATATTCTTAACCAAGCCTCTCTTGGTGTTAGTGTAAGGAATGGTACTTAATATTAATTTTCAGTTGGAGGTACATCATTCCATTGAAATACAACACCAAGTCAAAAAAAGCTGGAACAGTATGAAAAACACACACACACAATAAAGAAGTGACTTCTAATTTTAATTTGACTTGTATTTCATTGCTGACAATATAAACACAGTACATGTTTCCACTGTGTGATGGTCCATTCCAGATGGTTCTGGGCCCACAGAAGTAGATGGTAAACCTGGACACTGTTAACATAGGGCTTCCTTTCACAGTAGTTCAGCTTGGGCTTACACACTGAAATTCCTCCAGATTCATTGAATCCTTTAATTATAACTGTTGAAGGTGAAATATCCAAATGTCCTCTAATCTTTCTATAAGGAACATTGTTTTTAAAAATTCCAATAATTTTCTCATGTGTTTGTTGGCAAGCTGGCTATCCTCACCCATCTTTGCTCCTAAAGGACTAGACCTTTCTTGGATTCTGCTTTTGTACCAAATTAATTACAATCACCCGTTGACATCACCTGTTTTAAATTACATCATTATTTAAACAGTTTACCTGATTATTAGCTCTACAATGCTCCTGTTATAAAACTTTTTTAAATATGTTGTAGGTCTGAATGATGAGGAAGGATGTATATTTACAAATAAAATGAAGTTGACAAGACAAACTATGAAATATTTGTCTGCAATGAAGTACAAGTCAAAGTAAATTTGTAAATCACTATTTTCTTTTTTCTGATTTGGGGTTGTGAAATTCTCAG